TCAAAATAATTATTCCTTGAACTAATTGTAATTCTAATATTAATCTATAATTTACGTTGCTAGATTTTTATAGGCTACCGAACTGCCTACAGGGATAATTATTTTGGAAAATAATTATAAATCTTTCGCATAGAGGAGAATGGACTAAACTGAGAAGAAAAGTCCTCTATTATTTTGCAATTTTCGTAATAATTAACAAGATATTAATTGCAAAAAATTGCCGAAAATTGGTCTTCATTTATTTTTTTATTCAAATACTACTCAACTTAACAGAGAAACTACAAGAGGCAAAAATTGTTAATTTTCTTCTCTGTCTTCTGTATAAATAAAGTATATAGTTATATGTATACATATGTATGTATATACATTTGTATACATGTATATATTCTGCAATACACTCTACTTTTTTGTTAATTTTATCAAACTATTTCCTAAACAAAAGTAACTTTTTAAGACTATTTTTATGGAAGACTACATTACATCGATATTTTTCTTCGAATCGCCATTATGTCGCCAAATTTTTATTGATAGTGTCCCAAGTAATAAATATTTCATAATTTTAAGTCCAGAACAACAACATTTTAATGAATGTAATTGTCAAGTTTTAAACTTAAATATTCATTATTAACCATGTTATCGTATAAAATGTAATTGAAATATCACCTTCTCTTTTACTAAATAGTACGTATTTAAAAACACATTTTTTTTAATAACGTTTTAAACATTTGTTTTAAATTATTTAAAAAAAAACATGTTTAATTTAATTTGATGTATAAAACACGTTTTAAATATTTGTTAAAAAAAAAAGTTTTAAACAAAACAATCCTGATCGTGTTACATGTAGCGCAATTATATGAACCAAATATCGATTTATCATCTCCAGCTTTGAAAAGTGGACGCGGTATCCTAAGAAAAGTGAACGTTGCTATGTAGTTTGCATCCACATCTTTGTCAGAGGGTAATAGTGCGCGGCAGCATTTTGCGGTTACAGGTTTTGGGCCGTCATGTCCTCTCTCAGATTTCTCTCTACTCTATATGCTATAGCAGTGCTGCCAGACATGTCCCACACTCGCGCATGCGCGCAGTCTAAAGCGCCAGTAGAGTATCTAATCCGTTCGTGAAACTAGCGTCCTTAGTCGCCTCAAAGAGAAATAGAATTATAAATATATAAAAATTGGACATATCTCTTATTGTGAGGTATCAATTTCTACATTAATACTATTTACATTCTATATGAGAAGCTGATTCGGCATGCCTTGATAAATTATATCGACAATATTTAAACGAAATATATACAAATTTTACACCAAGCTTTATTGGCATTCTCTGCCAACCAACCTTTAAAGATATTTTCGTCTAACTAAGGTCTTCTAAATTTTCGGATACATATTTTGGGCCTTTTTCCATTGCGATTCATTTTCTGTCCTAAAATACTTTATCTTATTTCTATTTTCCTTTTGGGATTCCTCGCTTCTCCTGTTGTCCGGTTTGGCGCGTAGACTTCACGGTCCACACGGCACCATATACTATAGAATAAGTACATACAATATGGACACTGAACTTTTTATATGATTTCCGATTTTTAATGCGCATACGTTGACTTCCAATCAGAAATGTGGCTTTAGTAAGTTGAAATATTGGGTCATCTAAAAAGTATCCGCGGTTTTTTGTCACGAGATGTGACATATGTTGACCATCAACACCATCTAATGACAAAAAACCGCGGATACTTTTTAGATGACCCAATAGATTAGGTTAGCTGGATCTCCTTTCCATAAAATATAATTAACCCTTTCGCCTACAATAGTGAGAGTCGTGGTAAGGAAACCTGAGGAAATCGAGCCAAATATGAGTATCACACTCTACGTTATTCATATAAAGCTTAATTTTTTTTTAATTTGTAAGAGAAAAATAGAGCAAAGGGTTAATAAAATTAAGTTTTACTAACAAAATTAAATCAACAAATTTTTTCGGAGACGCAATTGTAAATAATTGACGACAACAGAGAAAAATATCAGGGTGCTTGTCTCGATCCCAGGCCTGTTCTTTCCTCCGAGTTGGTACGTTGGTTTCGTTCTGCCACTGAGCCACACAGTGCCCTGACGCTGTTGGTATCTCTGTTATGTGTATATCTAGTAAATTTCTTATAGATCGGCCCACCTGACATCACATTCATCCTTGAATCAAGACCGTAACTGTTGTTGAACAAATCCCTAATGAGCTCGACCCATCTAACAACACATTCGACTTGGAATGTCCCCATGGCATTTTCTCGTCATATCCAGGATCTTCTTTCAGAAATCGTCGGGGTTCCTGTGGGAATAAGTGACTCGATTGATAAGTCAAATTCTCAAGACAAGCTCACGCTTGTCGTGTAATGTGATATGAGATGTAATGATCGACACTTTTCTTGTAACAGGTAACGATAAATCTTTATTACTCGAGCTCAAATGAATATGACTATACAGGATGAGCGCCATAATTTATCTAACTTAACTTCTATTTTTTATAATTTGGTTTTCTGATGCCGCTTGAAGGCAACTCGCAACCTACAAAATCCCTAGGCTTTCTACACTCGCTGCGCTAGTGAGGTATTGAGAACGTAGTTCCCCACATTCCCGGGACACGACCGCCATCTACCGGGCAACCAACCAATTCTTATGTTCTCTGTCTAGGCCTCTCTTGATCATCTGAGCTATTCATTATTTTTGTCATTGTTCTATATCCGAGTCCTAGTTCCTCTTTTATCAAATCATTCCGAGCACACTTCAGCCATTCTCGCCACCGGTTCCGATTCCTTATAGGGCAGCTGACTTCAGAACATTTTTCTAAAACCCTGATCCTCTATCCCTGAGAGGTTAGCAGGCACACTAAATCCTACTTCTGAGCTGTAAAACAATCGACGACAACAGAAAAAAATATCAAAGCCCGTCGTCTCGATCCCAGGCCTGTTTCTCTCCTCCAAGTTGGTAAACTTTCACTCTGCCACTGAGCCACACAGCCCTGACGCTGTTAGTATCTGTATTGTGTATATCTAGTGAAACAAGCCTGGGATCGAGACGAGGAGCGCCCTGATATTTTTCTCTGTTGTCATCAATTATTTACAATTGCGTCTCCGAAAAAATTTGATTTAATTTTGTTAGTAAAACTTAATTTTATTAACCCTTTGCTCTACTTTTCTCTTACAAATTAAAAAAAATTAAGCTTTGTACGAACAACCTACAATGTGATACTCATATTTCTTGTACTATATTGTGTAGACTATTATATTTATGTTCGAGATACAGCTAACATGGACAGTTTTTGCCGATTTGGCGTACATGCGACATGCGGATCGGAAGCTTCTAGAAGGATTCCAAACGTCCTTAGAGGTTTCCAAAACATAAACTTGGCCATCAGTTCGTCAATAAAGTCGAAAAACAATAAGCTAAGCCGCACGTCGCACGTACGCAGATCTCAACCGCTATAACGGCGAACCAACTCAGATCGATCGCAGCGCGATCGCATGACGCAAAACGCGTAATATGCGTACATCTCAATCAAGAATCCAGATTTAGCGGGCGTGCATGGCAATAGCATACCGCTTGGCCATCGCGCTCGAAATTGCCAATCGCCGCCCGAAACAGAGGATCACCTCAAAATTTTCAATTTTGCGAGAATCTCATAGGCGAATGCAAAGGGAAGTCTTTGTTCTTAAAAGAGCATAAAAGGCAAAACCGAGAAGCAATGGCTCTCTTCTTCTTCGCTGTTCTCGAGTCAACGCTTCGGTACAAGTGCAACTGCCTAGGAGATGCTCCGCCGCCAGAAAACCGCCGCATTTGATTCGCAATTGAGAATTCGCGTAAAGCGAAATTCAGCCGAAACGCCGTATCACTCGAAATTTTCTCGCCATCGCTCTCACTTTAACTCGCTCTCGAACATTGCTGGTCCTTCGAGCCGGATTCGCCTTCGTCGAATTTATCGTTCGTTCGGGAGTATTATCGCGTTTAGTGCGCGTATTATCTAAAAAGTCAGAGAGAGAACATATGTAAGTGAAATCATGAGTGACGAAATAAACGCCTTGCTGACCGCTCAGAATGACATTCACGGTCGCAGTGGCCAGTGACCAATTTAAAGAAGATGGGGATGGCCAACATCACCCTCCATACCGTCGAAACCCGCTCAGCGCTTCTCGATCAGCTGTGGGCGAAGTTCGAAAAACAGCACGAACTCATCCGAGCACATTACAAGGAAGCCTTCGATCAGAGTGAATACAATCAATTTGCGGAGTCCGCCCAAATCACGGACGTGCAGCAGCGCAGCCTGCTGAACGATTACCGGACAAAGTTCAAGGCTGAGAAATCAAGTACAGCTCCTCCGAATGAATCGGGAACCGATTTTTTTACCAAATTAGCGCTGCCGCGTTTAAAAATCCGATCGTTTTCGGGCGCGTTTGAAGACTGGCCATCGTTTCGAGACACATTTTTGGCATCTCATCGTTGGCAATAATCCGTCTATCTCAAACGTAGAAAAGTTTCATTTAAAGCATTGCTTAGAAGGATCCGCGGAGGCATTGATACGTCCGTTGGCCGTAACTGGAGACAATTATTCGCGTGCGTGGGCGCTGCTGTGCAAGCATTACGAGAGCAAAAAGGAGTTGTCGCGCTCCAATTTTTGTACGTTCACCGCAGTGCAGAAAATGAAAAGTGATACCGCCGAGGAACTTAGCCGCATTTACAATGCCGTGATCAATGTCGTGAACGGCCAAAAAAGTATAGGGAGACAAATTGATTCACATGGCTTCGACCTTTTCAATCACTTCGTCATCGAGCTTTTCGACGAAAACGAAAACGCGTCTCGAGTGGGAATCACACACGAGCGATTCCAGATCGCCAGTGTGTTGACCACTGTGCGCCAAAATAACGAGTGCAAGGGCATTCTGCTCGCTACCAAGAATTACTGTCGATGATCGCCACGGGGATCCACACCCGGTTAGAATCCTGATCGATCAAGGATCGGAAATGTCCTTGATCTCCGAAGCGCTAGTCCAGCGCTTACACCTGCCGCGATCCCGCGTGGCAATCTCAATTTTCGGCATCGGCGGCTCACCTTTGGGTCCCTGTCGCAGAAAAGTATCTCTCAATCTCACCTCCAGGATCAATGGAACTCGAGTCACCGCTTTCATCCTGCCACGTCTCTCGCTATATCAAGGAGCAGCTACGACATATAAAACTACATGGCCTCACATTGAAAGTCTCCAGCTAGCCGATCCGCAATTCTCGGCCGTCGATCCCATCGAGCTGTTGCTCGGCGCGGAAGTGTGCTCTATCATTCTGCAAGAGGGCCTGCGAAAGGGCGATCCGCATACTCCCGTCACTCAGCATACCCTGCTCGGATGGATTCTCTCGGGAGGCTGCGGCGAGAATCTCTCAGCGACTCTACACCGCTCCTTCCAATGCACCGCCGACCACGAGCTGACCGCGCTCGTGCAACGTTTTTGGGAGCAAGAGAAGGAACCTTTTGCCTCAGTGTCCATCACGCCAGACGAGCAACGATGCGAAGAATTCTTTGCTCGAACTCACAGCCGCACCGATGCAAGGAGGTACGTTGTGCGACTGCCATTTGCCGCGCCGCCAGCAGCACTCGGTGACACCCGCCAATCAACCGAGCGACTGCTCACTTGGAGCGACGATGCGACCGCGACGTTCGATTCGGACTTCTGTATCACGCCTTTCTAAAGGAATACGAAGAGTTGCACCACATGAAGGCAGTGCCAAGATCATCGGAATCTCAGGAAAGATGCTATCTGCCTCACTATGGAGTGCTCCGAGAATCGAGCTCATCGACCAAACTCAGAGTGGTATTCAACGGATCTCAAAGTACAAGGTCCGGTAAGTCACTAAACTCTCAGCTGTTGGTCGGCGCTAACTTGTTGTCATCGTTCGCCGATGTACTAACCCGCTGGCGATGACACCAATACGCGATCATGACGGACATCGAGAAAATGTACCGCCAAATGGCGCCCGAGGACAGAGATTATCAATGCATTCTCTGGCGTCATTCACTCAACGATCCGGTACCGAGTGAACACGGTGACATGCGATCTGTCATGCGCGCCATTTCTCGCTATCCGTACTCTCCGTACTCTTCGTCAGCACGACGAAAACGCGATTTTCGCGAGGTTCCGCCGAACTGAGACACGACTGTTACGTCGACGACATTGTGACCGAACCACACACGAAAGACGAGGCGATCGCGAAGCAATTCGAGTTCCGTCAGCTGTGCATGGCGGGCGGATTCCCGCTTTCCCCACAGTCATTCTGAAAGTCTCGTCGATACTCCTGCGGATCACTGTCTCGCGGATTCGCGGTCGTGGGAACACGGAAGTCATGCAACGCTGGGCCTGCAGTGGCACCCGGTGGACGATACCTTTGCATTTTCCATTCAAGGCTGCACCATTGAGAATTTCACTAAGAGGAAAATTCTCTCGGAGATCGCGCGTTTATTTGATCCGCTCGGATGGTTGACACCAGTAATGACCGCGCAAAAATCTTACTTCAGCATGCAGAAGCTGGACTGGGACATCCCGCTCCCTCAAGCAGACGCCTGCCATTGGAGTCGTTTTCTGGAGGAACTCCCAAGACTTGAACAGCTTAGAATCAACCGCTGGTTGAACACAGGCGCGAAAGACGCGAAAGTCGAACTGCACGGATTCGCCGACGCGTCCGAACGAGGATACGCAGCCGTGGTGTACCTTCGTGTCATCAACACTGACGATGTCAAGGTTCTCCTACTAGCAGCAAAGAGCAAGGTCGCTCCGATCAAGCCGGTATCCTTGCCGCGATTGGAGCTGTGCGCCGTCGCCTTGCTCACGAAATTAGTTGTACACACACGTACCGGTTTAAGCCTGTCCACAGCTCCAGTTACTCTTTGGTCCGACTCCAAGGTCACACTCTACTGGATTCAGGGTCACGCCTCTCGATGGAAGACTTACGTGACCAATCGCGTGTCCACAATTCAAGAGGCACTTCCAGAAGGACGATGGCGTCATGTTCCCGGAAGAGACAACCCGGCCGACTGCGCCTCTCGGGGAATAACATCAGGAGAGCTCATGGATCATCCACTCAGGCCCCCCTTGGCTGCTCAGGGACGACTCAACTTGGTCTAACGCTCAACCTGAAATTTCATCGAAGGAAGTGCTCAAGTAACGCATCCACTCTCGCACCATCACGTCAAAGGTAGTCATGGAGCCGGAGCTCCTTCTCCGATTCTCCTCACTTCACCGGCTCCTGAGAGTCACAGCGTGGTGTTTACGTTGGCTGCGCCCAAGGAGAATGTCAACAACAGAAGGAAGTCTAAGGTCGATCTTGACACCCGACGAGCTCGACGCTGCACTAGGACGATGGATCCGAGCAGTTCAGGCACTGCTTTTCAATTAGTATCCTATTCAGAGGATCAACGCCGATGTCACTTCGCAGCCAGTTGCGGACCTTGAGTCCCTTCATTGACAAGCAAAGGGTGCTCGGACGTCGCCTAAAGCACGCAATTCTCTCTCCGGACGAGCGGCATCCGACAATCATTCCGCCGCACTCACACCTCTTATCATATCACCGCTGAGCACTCCATGGAGGGGTGCAACTCTGGGCCTGTTACGACTGTGGTACTGGATCCCTCGAGGGCGAGCCAACAACAAAATACTGGCTGCATCGGTACATCACTTGTACCAGATGGAGAGAAGTCACGCCACAGCCACCGATAGGCAACTTCCCTCAAAGACGCGTAACTCCTGCACCTCCATTCCTCAGGACCGGTATCGACTACATCGGGCCAATACTCATTCGCACTAGCCGAGGACGCGGGCACCGTTCCCACAAGGCCTTCATTGCAATCTTTGTGTGTCTCTGTTCTAAGGCGACGCACCTTGAGGTCGTGTGGGCGCAGTCCTGGCCACGCTTCGTCGATTCACATCAAGGAGAGAACTATGCTCGGATATCTACTCCGATTGTGGCACGAACTTCATTGGCGCCAACCGACAGATACGAGAGCTTCTTCGCACATCTTCCGTCAATCCGCATCGCGAATGCTGCTGTCACAGAAGGAATGTCACATCCGATGGCATTTCAATCCACCTTCCGCACCTCACTTCGGAGGCCTCTGGGAAACAGCAGTAAAATCGACGAAGTACCATCTTCGAAGAGTAATCGGCGATGCCACGCTCACTTATGAGGAGATGAGCACTCTCCTAGCTCAGGTAAAGACCTGCCTGAATTCTCGGCCATTGCTAGCGACGATCCCGACAACCTCTCAGCGCTTACTCCAGGACACCTGCTCATCGGAGCTCCGCTGTTAGCCATTCCAGAACCGTCGTTCGCAGAGAAGGCAACGAGTTCTCTCTTTCATTGGCAGCACCTTCAAGGAATGCATGATCATTTTTGGGAAAGGTGGTCGCGGGAATACCTGCATTCCTTGACCTCATGTCCGAAGTGGTGCAAGGTAAGCGTCGCGCCTCAGATTGGCTCATTGTGCCTCATACTTTCAGAGACATCATCGCCGAGTAAATAGCCTCTAGCTCGTATCATCAAACTGCACCCAGAAAAGGACGGGGTGACCCGAGTGGCCGAGTTCACACAATGCCTTCTGAGCTCATCCGACCTCTGGTCAAATTGGTGATGCTGCCTGGACCTGCTGCCTCGACCACTCTACACGCAAACTTGCAAGAACAGTAAAACCACATTGTATGAAACCGCGCGATCTTCTTCAATGTACTCGCGTCAGTTCAAAGCGCGTGTAATCGCAGTAATGTTCGCGTTGATTTTATTTATCCTTCGCAATCTTGATGATGTGAATTTTCCAATTTTTTGAAAATAACATTTACCGCTGATGCAATGTACTATACACTGTTACATTTTCGCTGTTTTATTTCGAAATTATTCTGATTACATTCACAATCATTGCGCAACCAACGCCTTGCAATCGCGATTGCCCGCTAATTCCTTTTGATTGATATTATAGCTAAATTACATGACCACGTCTGCGTCATTATATCTCTTGAATACTTTCTTGTTAGTTCAAACTCAGAGCGTATCCGATCATGTGCACGCACAGGCTTCCACGACACCGTGCGCGGGACGCGTACACATCATCAGCCATCTAAAACGCCGCGATCTCCCAGCAATAAACAGAACTCGCGACATCTATACACTTGCCAAGCGTGATCATTTAATTCCGTCACTGGCGAGATGTTCGAGATATAGCTAACATGGATAATTTTTGCCGATTTAGCATACATGCGACATGCGGATCGGAAGCTTCTAGAAGGATTCCAAACGTCCTTAAAGGTTTCCAAAACATAAACTTGGCCATCACCTCGTCAATAAAGTCGAAAAACAATAAGCTAAGCCACACGTCGCACGTACGCAGATCTCAACCGCTATAACGGCGAACCAATTCAGATCGGTCGCAGCGCACGCGCGATCGCATGACGCAAAACGCATAATATGCGTACATCCCAATCAAGAATCCAGATTTAGCGGGCGCATATGGCAATAGCATACCGCTTGACCATCGCGTTCGAAATTGCCAATCGCCGCCCGAAACAGAGGGTCATCTCAAAATTTTCAATTTTGCGAGAATCTCATAGGCGAATGCAAAGGGAAGCCTTTGTTCTTAAAAGAGCATAAAAGGCAAAACCGAGAAGCAATGGCTCTCTTCTTCTTCGCTGTTCTCGAGTCAACGCTTCGCTATAAGTGCAACCGCCTAGGAGACGCTCCACCGCCAGAAAACCGCCGCGTTTGATTCGCAATTGAGAATTCGTGTAAAGCGAAATTCAGCCGAAACGCCGTATCACTCGAAATTTTCTCTTCACATTTAATTACAATTTTTATGCAATATATTATTTTTTCATAGACAATTATTCAATTACAATATTCATATAGTACTTAATCAATTATTATTTTTAATTTACTTATTACTGTTTAATATTATTCGTATTATTAATGTGAATATTATCTTTATATAATGAGTTCGTTAACATTATATTATATAGGGTGCCATGAATATACAGTCCTACTCGTCCCGAACAAGTAGAGCGGACTAAACTGAATAGAAAATCCTCTATCATTTTGCAATGCTCGCAATAAATGAGATATTAACGTTTAAAAATCGCAATTAACGAGAGCTAAATACGCATATTAAAGATAGCTAAATACGCACATTCGCCCGACCTGCTATTGCTGAAGGTACAGCCCACCGAGCACACAGCGCGCGGTCCGTGAGGAGCGGGGACGGCATAGCAGACGCGCCGCGCCGTTCGAAGTTAGAGGCTCGCGGTGATAAGCGGAGCACTTGCCCCACTTACCCTGCCAAGCTATCGATGGCGGATATTCGGCAGTTTAGAAATAATATCTCGATTGTGAAAATTGGAAAAAGATCAAGAACTGTTAGAAAAAAAACTCAGTTTAGTTCCTTCTGAAGCGTGCACATGTACAAAAAAATATTATATATATATATATATACTACATGGGCTGAAAAGTCCCGGGATTTTTAATGAAAACAAGCGTTTTTGGGGTAAAGTTATATTTATTCCTCAACATAGTTGCCTTCGAGGGCGATATACTTGGTATAGCAATTTTACAATTTCGATGCCCTTTCTGTAGTACGAAACGTCCAGGCCTTCGAAATACGCCTCGGTTTCCGCGATGACTTTCTCATTCGATGTGAATCTCTTTCCCTGGAGCCACCGCTTGCGGTCTGGGTACAGATAATAGATACTGGGCGTTAAGT